TCCTCCTCTTGCATGTTTCCTCTGTCCATAGCGTTCCTTGACAGTGTCGTTTCTAAGTCACCAATTTAGTGCTACTTGGTCCCAATGGAATTTCCCATTAGAAACCTCCTAGCACTAAGTTGCTAACTGCTTAGCAACGATGCTTTCAACAAACCGGCCACAATCGAAAAGCTTGCGAACCTTCCGCCACAACAATCCCGCCCCTATAATAATCAACCAATCACATTTACTTTATTCACTGGTGTAAAGTCGGGCACCATTCGGGAGAATTCAGAAATTTTAACATAAGTTTATCTGTATTTAATGTTTGAATTTTCTTCCATCCATCGTAATTTAAACTGCAGATTTTCTTTCTTTAAATTTATTTCCGGTATTTCTCCCAGCAGGACACCCAGCCTTCTCCTCTGGCCCTTCTGGCTGCTACTTGCAGTAAAATCGGGCCCCCTGCTGCTCAGGCCCCGGTAACTTCTCCTCCCACTCAGCCGCAGCCTCGCAGGCTTCAGCCCATAAAGCCGGCTCCCATAGCACCAGCTCCACCCAAAAACCTGGGTTTCCTTTCAGCTAAGGGCAATGTGATCCAGCTCCCTGCTGGCTTGGGAACCTCAGCTCCCGGCAGTCCTATTGTCCTTACGATCCAACAGAGCCCGGCACGCACCAACACCGCCGGCCCTGCTAACATCCAGTACCAGGTGATGCCGCAAATCCAGATGATGCCGCAGGGAGGTCAGATCCAGCTCATACCAGGCACTAACCAGGCCATCATTACCACTCCTATGACTGTGCCAGCCCCAGCTGTCGCAGCTGCAACGCCGGTGACGCCGCAGAAGACCGTCGCCATTAAACCCTCGCTCAAGGTACGGAAACCAAACAATGTGGCGGCTAATGTGATGCAGCTGCCCGGCGGGCTCACGCTGCCCCTTAATGTTGCAACCGGAGAGGTCGGCGGGTCTGCGGTCGTCACAGAGACGGCCGCGTCCCCTCCCACACCTGGAAAGGGACGGCGAGGGAGGAAGAGGAAAGTGGTTCCGCTGGCCGAACCTCCGCCAGCTCCTTCACCTCCGCCGGAGCAGATGGAGACCATTGTAATTGAAGCTGGCGATAACATCATACAGGTGATATTTCTGCCTATTTTAGTTCTACATTGACCATCTTCCTACTGAACTTGATTTTAAGAAATGATGTTAGCGGAGATTAGCGTTCGATTTTCCTCATATCGGTATGGACTGATGCAATATGAGGATTATTTGGCCGATTCTTTCATGCATTTAGCAGCTATACCTTGAGGTCACGTAGAGTGCATTTATTGTGGCTCCCCTGCATTCTATGGAGCTACATTGGGGCCATACATTTTGTTTAAAAAACAACAAAAAACTTAAAACTGAGAAATTATTTGGAAACTTAAAAATTGTTTGAAAACTGAACTTTTTGCAGTAAAACAAAAAAAAAGTCAGTTTAAAACAGTATTTTTGAGCAAACTTGGAGTCCCTAATTTAACTCCATTATTTGCTATCATGTCTTAATGTTTTGTTTAGATGTGTTTATTGATGTTTTATTTGTTTGTTTAAATTGTGAGCTGTGACGTTTTTATCAGTGTCACATAAATGGGTGGAGAAAAAAAAAGAAATATCAGCTCCATGAATTGGACCCAAAAAATAATCAGTATACATCAGTGATCGTTTAAACATCTATTAAAATAATCGGTATGGGCCTGAAAAACGGCACATTGGTTGATCTCTAGTTTTGATGAAAACCAGTCCTAAAAAATAATGCTTAATTTTTGTTATTTAAACGTAACAAGGATCTAAAATTCTCAGCCAATGCGTTTAGCAGGTATAACTTGAGGTCACGTTGAGTGCATTTATTGTGGCGCCTCTGCATTTTATGGAGCTACATTGGGGTCTTAAATTTTGTAAAAAAAAAAAAATTTTAACTGAGAAATTATTTGGAAACTTAAAAATTGTTTAAAAACTGAAATGTTTTTTTGAAACAGAAGAAAAATTAACCCACAGATCATGAATGCAACAGCTGGAACTATTTTGTCCAGATGCCAAAATTGAACCTGAAAAAGGAAGCTTAAAACATTCCTTTTTTGCAGTAAAACAAAAAAAAGTCAGTGTAAAACAGTACTTTTGAGCAAACTTGGAGTCCCTAATTTAACTCCATTATTTGCTATCAGGTCTTAATGTTTTTGTTTTTATGTGTTTATAGATGTTTTATGTGTTTGTTTAAATTACGATCTGTGAGATTTTTATCATTGTGTCACATAAATGGGTGGAGAATAAAAAAATATCAGCTCCATGAATTGGACCCAAAAAATCATCAGTATACATCAGTGATCGTTTAAACATCTATTAAAATAATCGGCATGGGCCTGAAAAACGGCACATTGGTTGATCTCTAGTTTTGATGAAAACCAGTCTTAAAAAATAATGCTTAATTTTTGTTATTTAAACGGAACAAGGATCTAAAAATCTCAGCCAATGCGTTTAGCAGGTATAACTTGAGGTCACGTTGAGTGCATTTATTGTGGCGCCCCTGCATTCTATGGAGCTACATTGGGGCCATAAATTTAGTTAAAAAACAAAAAAAAAATTCAAACTGAGAAATTATTTGGAGACTTAAAAATTGGTTTATAGAGCCAAAAAGATTAGAATTGCGTTGATGTCCCAATATTTATGGACCTGACTGTAATCTGATGGTCCAAGGTGGTCCGATATCAGATTCCAAACTGCAGGAGAGAAGTTAAACCTAAGGTTACAGGTCTTGTGACCCTGATGCCTAAAAGTTACATAGTGTTGCTTTAAACCAAGTGTTTCAACATCTTGTATAAACCTTTGTTGTTTTCTGTAGGCGGGGAACAATTTGCTGATTCTGCAATCTCCTGGACAGCCAGCGATGGTGCAACAGGTCCAGGTGGTGCAGCCTAAGACTGATTCCCAGTTGATCCAGATCCCTCAGCAGGCATTGAAAGTGGTGAAGGCTGCTTCTGCCACTTTGCCTCCTGTCCCACAGAAACAGCCCATCACTCCGAGCCTGCAGGTGACCCCTCAGGATCCAACACCGACCCAGGTATGAAGTCAATCCATCTGAGCTTCCACGCTGCATCGTTACAGCCTGGCAGGAAGTTAGCTGGAAAACTTAAAACATCAATGAGAGATGTTTACTAACTGGTAGCTTAGCTGATTGTCGTACCATGTTAAGATCAGCCTTCACTTCACATTAGTTAGTTTAAATTGGACCATTAACTCATGTTTTTGTGGCTCTGCCTTGTTGACTGCATTTTGTCAAAGCTATCTGGTGCCTGGCAGTTAAATAACCATCACTGAAGCCTCTGAGGGTCATAAATGTAACAGAGTCAACATCCTGGACGAGTTTAAACGTCCTGTCAGGTGATGACGCTCAGAACTAAACATTATTAGGCTTATTTCATCAACGTTTTTTTCCCTTCGTCTTATTTTGAAGTAATGAATTAGAGGATTCTAATAAACTTTCTAAATTACACAAAAAAATTACACTTGCTTTAGTTTTTTTATTTATTTATTGACTTTTATTTAAAAGGGAGAGTGAAAGATATTTTTCCAATAAGTTCTGACGTAGCGAATATTCAACTCCTGTGGCTGAATAGCTGTCTCTGCTAGTGTAGCGTCCTGAATGCAGCATTAGAACCGCACTTCTCTCTCCAGTTGCGTGAACCATTGCTAATACCAGCTGACATGATAAACTAAATACAACTTGCAACACATTTCTTCTTATTATTTTAAGCTGCGGTCTTCTCTCTCCTGTTAACTCTTCCTGTCTACTACAGCTAAATGTAGCAGCAACATATGACAACGTCACACTTTGCAGTGACTCTTAAATTCGCTCCAATGATTGAAACGCATTGAATGAACTGTTTTTTACTTTTTAAAAGCTTGCTTAAAATTTGCATTACATTTGGACAAAAACAAGGCTATTCTGTCTTTATTTTGAACTTTTAGCATTAAAATGGGATTATAGCAGAAGGAAAAAAAAATGTATATTAATTTGGCCTGTTCCTTCTAACTAAATAGACGACGTCGGCCCCCGTTACTCTTGAGAAATCAGCTAATTAAATGATGAAACACATGGAAAGTTTCTTGCAAAATATGTCTGACGTGTACGGCCAACTGCTGGTATGACTTTGGTGAAAAAAGACAGCAGCTGATAACCGCAGTGGAGCTCATCAGGTTTAGGCTAAAAAGCAAACTAGCTGTTTGTGCAGGGAGGGCAGACTAGTTACTGGAATAGACTGACCTCTTTCTAACGTAACCCCAAAGATAGACCTTAGAAACACTTTTGATTTGAAGAGTCTGTGACATGTCTGGTTATATTTGCTTTTTTCTACTCCTCCACTGTCAGCTTGTCTTCATATATTGGGGAATAAAACAGAGGACTACCGTATTTTCGCGACTATAAGCCGCATATAAACGTCTTTTTTGTGCAGCGCGCCCTATAGTGCGGTGCGCCCTATGTGTGTTGTTATTGTGGATGTTGTTAAGACCACCATGAGAACGTTAAAGGGGGAAGTGTGGGCGTGGATTGGCTGCCACGCAAATGGACAGAAACTGCCGCCTATGGTGATTTTTAAAAGAAAGACTTTGCCTAAAGAGCCTTTTCCAGCTGGAGTCGTTATTAAGGCAAAGGAAAAGGACTGGATGGATGAGGAGATGATGAAAGAGTGGCTGAGGGAGGTGTACTGTATGTAAGGAGACCAGGTGGTTTTTTCCACTCATCAACATCGCTGTTAATCTGTGACTCCATGCGTGCCCATCTCACAGCCGATGTGAAAAACAAGGTGAAACAAATGAACGCTGTGCTTGCTGTTATTCCGGGAGGTCTGACAAAGGAACTTCAACAGCTCGACATCGGTGTGAACCGGCTGTTCAAAGTAAAGTGGGGGCAATGGATGAACGACGGAGACCACAGTTTCACGAAAAGTGGAAGGCAGCGCCGGGCAAGTTACGCCACAGTTTGCGGATGGATTGTACACTAGAAAAACAATCTAGAAATAAGTAAATATGTCTTAAATTAAGTGTATTTACCCTTAATTTCAGTTGTTAAATGAGATAGTTTGCCAATGGGATGAGTATATTTACTCTTAAAATAAGATAATTAGATGATATTTTCTTGAAATAAGACCATTCAATTGTGTTTTCTTATTTTAAGTGTAAATTGTCTTGTTCCATTGGCAAACTGTCTCTTTTATCTCCTCAATCCAAGAACAAATGCAATCCTTTTAAGAAAAGATGACTTCTAGATTTCAAATTTTTTCCAGTGTAGATGCTTGGGCTAACGTGTCTGCTGGCACTGTTGTTCGAGCTTTTGCAAAAGCCGGCATCATTTCCGAGGAGCCGCACGGCACGGAAAGTGACTCTGACAGCGAAGAAGGGGAAATTGGCATGTCTGATTTAGCGCAGCTGTTTAATTCAGAAACAGAGGATGATGACTTTGATGGGTTTGATTAATACTTTGTAATAAATACATAAAAAAAGCACAAACATACTCAGTTTTGCTCCCGCTCTATTTTTAAATACGCAGTAGAGGTATTTAAACGTAGTAGAGGATATGTACTGGTATATAATCCGGTGCGCCTTATGTGTGTGTTAAATACAGTAATGGCACACATAACTGAGACTGCGCCTTTTAGTACGGTGCGCCTTATGGTCGTGAAAATACAGATTGTCCCCTTTTGGCTACCATAATCAAAGATGGCGGCACCTATGTATTTATAAACAACTCATTCTAATCTCTTCCTTTTTTGATGCAGTTGTTATAAGACTTTGACAGAAAGCTAAATCAGTTTCCCACTGTGATCTTTAACTCATTTCATTCACTGCATTTCTCATGTTAATAGTTTATATTTTACTTCACTTAGATCCTCTTCAAAACAGCGTCAGGGGAGTGGCAGTCAGTTCAACTGCAAGACTCCGGCTCCAAGGCAACAAGCCCTACAACCTCTGTTGCCCCAACCACCCCCACATCACCACCTGCCAGCAGCAAGAGGACCCAGGCAGGGGCGCGAAAGGAGCGCACCCTGGCAAAGATCGCCCCTGCGGGTGGAGTGATGGCATTCAACCAGTCGCAGTTGTCCTCTGCATCTCAGGCAGTGCAGACGATCAGTATCAATGGGGTCCAGGTCCAGGGAGTTCCTGTCACCATCACCAATGCAGGAGGTAAGCTAACGAGGAGCCTGAATAACAGCTTCATGGTGACAGTCGGTACTAAAGATGCATTTTATTAATTGATTAATTAATCTAAAGGGGATTGATCTGATCGATTGATAAGTCGCCATTTTCTTAAAAAACTGTTTTCTCTCGTCTCAAGACTGTCTTTCCACAACATGAAGGACTTAATATTCTATTACAATAAGCTGAGGGGGAAAAAAAGTACATTGTTATATTTTTTACAATTTATTATGTCAGCGGTTTTCATTACTGACTGAATAATAATAAAAAAAATAGTTTTCTCACACATTTTTTTAAGTTTATAAAAGCAAGGCTTGAACATATTAGATTACTGAATACAAGATCATTAGAATACTTTTTATTTTCCAGTGCAGTTGTGACACTATCATTAAAGTCAGGGTATGTGGCTCTGACATACTGGGAGATTAGGTGTTACTTTTTGTCACTGAAGTCAACGCTAACCATGATATAGCGCTCTGTTTTTAGCATAATCCAGTAGTCGGAGCTCGGAGAGACTTTGTGCTGTTAGCAGCTGCTTTAAACTGGTGGTTCTGGTTGCTCTCAGAAATTCAAACTTTTCTCAATAAAGTTCATTAAGTCACAGAATCCTTCCCTATCTACAATGCTAACTGCTGACCTTTTTTTTTTTCTTTCAGGTTTTAAACATTTT